AAGACATCAAGTTTTATGGCTTAAGTCAGTGATAGAAAAGGAACAGAACCCGGGCCAGGCAGGGCGGCTCACACCTATTACCCCAGCACTGTGTGAGGCCGAAGCAGGGGAATCACTTGAGCCCAGGAGTTCAAGACCAGCCTGGGCAACACAGTGAGTCTCATAATCAAATAAAATAAAACAACAAATTCTAAGCCATAGCCCTTTGATGAAGAGTGCCCCAGGCAAGGCTGCTCCTGTTAGCAGGCTATTCCTGGGCAATCCTCACTCCTTTCTCCATAGGCCCACCTCTATGCTCTGAGAGCAGGACCAGTCCTCACCAACCCCAGGAATTAACATAAACCCCAGCAAAAAGCTGGCCCTGGGCACACGCTGGTTCAACACACAAAAATCAATACGACTGCCTCAGTGAGACGCATGTTTAAAGTGTCTTTAGGCTTATTCAATAAGATTTACACATCGTAAGCCTAAAACTGGCCGGAATGCAACAGCTCGCGTCTCTCAGGGATTAAGTGTTTTCTGGTCCAGACAGCTCCCAGGAAGCTGTGTGTAGACAGGACAGAAACCAGACTCTGACCAGCTTAGAAGGAGTGAGAGGTGTCAACCCCACAGCAAGAGAGACAAGCCACAGCAGATCTGATTAGCAAGCCCTCCGTCACTGGGGTGTGGGTCCGAGTCCCAGGCCCAAGCGTTTAGTAAAGGATAAAAAAGAAAGGGTGGACGGAAGAGAGAGTCCGGGGAGCGGGGGAGGGAGACGGCCTGACTCTGTCCTTCACCTTCTGGAAAATTCCTTGCTGACCCAAAATACCAGGTTAGTGTCTGAGAAACCAGGAGGAGAGCCCTCACAGAAGCCCTGCTCCCCACTGCAGAGAGCTCGGAGGGAGTCGGAGGGGGAGCGCAGGGGCCTGGGCTCAACTCAGCCCCGTGCTCCTGCCCTGCAGGTGCCACCTACACCCTCTGAGCATGGGCAAGGGGACCAGGGGATCCAGAGATGGTGGGGAGGGGGCGCTGGTTATGTCTCTGAAGTCCCTTCACTCTGCCTGTCTGTCATTCAACCTGGCAATTTCTCTACCACATGGCCAAGAACAACGTCCCAGGCAGCGCAGAGCAAGACAGAGACAGCTTCTCCTGTGGCCTCTTCTCCTTTCGGGCCACACCACAAGGAAAACGGACACAGACAGACCTGGCAAACGTACTCACCACGGGAGTCTGTCCGAATGAGCTGGACTTCGCAGCGTCCTGGCAGAGGCTGAGCCCCGATGGGCTGCCCGAATTGAAAAAGCAAGGCCATGTGCAGACGTAAATCCAAAGGCACTTGAGAGGACAGAGAGCCTCCGCGGGACCCCAGCCCCGGCAGCCTCGCACGGCCGCCCGCCAGTGCCTTCCTCAGCAGTTTTCTGAGTTTGCTTGTTAGGGCAAATCCTAAGATCATGAGCACAATGGGTTACGTAACCCCAGGCAGCCTGGGAACCCTATCGGCTCATCTTGTTAAGCCATCCCAGACAGAAAATGACGCACCCAAAAACGTGATACCTCTGGGTTGGGGGTAGGGGCGCAGCAAGGAGAACGGGGCTTTGTGATGGGCATTCGGTCGTGCCTAAAAATTGAAGTGGAACAAAAAGTCTGCTGTTCATCTCAGGGCTTGCTGGGAGCCAGGGGAGGAGTGAATTGTCGGGGGCTGGGTGCCAAGCGGTGTCCTGAGACTGCACCCGGCCAAGCCCTGGGAGGTCACAGACGCATTCCTGGGGACAGCCTCGGTCTCTCGGAGAACTTTTTCCATTTACTGTCTTCCTTTCAATGACTGCCTAATAAAACTTTAATCCGAGCACGTTCTCCCTCCATCACCTGCAGCCCGTACCTCTGTGTTTACACTGCTGTTTACCAAGCCACTGCTAACCACGACCACACTGCACCGTTTCTCAGCTGTCCTCCGGTCCCATCGAAGAACTGCCAAGTCACCACATCCTACAGGGTGTGAAGTCTCAGCATTACACTCTGCCATTTCTCTACCCTCCGCTGTCACGTTCAGAGAAAGCGAAACTAGCCTAGCAGGCTGCACCTTTCCTGGATTTCACTGGTACAGACGCCACAAGGATCCCAAGGATCAGCTCCCGTGTTGGGACAAATGTGGGTGCCACTGGGACATCGCCTCCTCCACAAGGCCCTTGCGGTGGCTCCTGTCCTTCCCCTCCGAGGTTCAGCCTGGCGCCCTCCCTGGTACCCTCCTGTGCTGTGCTTCTCACTGTGCCAACCTCGGTGTACAGCCAATCTCTACTCACTCATCTGTCTCCCCAACTAGACTGCATGTCGGGCAGCAGAGAACCCCTGTCCTGGGGTCCCACGGACCTGGATGCAAGTCCCGCCAGTCAGGAGTTCCGCTAAGGTGCTGAGCCTTCTGACATGCAGACTCTTCACGTTACAAAGAGGGTGATAGTGCCCACTTCACAAATGGACACAACTGATACGCCCAACACACGTTCACTGAGCACGACGTTAGTCACTGGACGCAGGAGTGCGCAAAGCTGGCACACGGCCTGCCCTCTGCGAGTCCACAGTCTGCTGCAAGTTTGGCAGATGAAACGCAAATGCAGCAGTTTGAAGGATGGTTAAGTCTGGGGAAAAAGTCAGCAGGAAAGGGAGGCAGGGAAAGGTGGGGAAGATCACTCTTTATATGGGGAGGGAGGGGTCACAAAAAGCATCAAATAAAATGTCACTTGGGGCCAGGCACGGTGGCTCACACCTGTAATCTCAGCCCTTAGTGAGGCACAGGTGGAGGATAGCTTGAGCCCAGGAGTTCAAGACTGGCCTGGGCAATATAGTGAGACCCCATTTTCCACACACACAAAAAAAAGAAAGAAGTGTAAAATGTCACTTGGAGAAGGAAGAAGGTCACAGGCTATCTGGAGTCAAGGCAATCCAAAGGCTCTGAGGCTGGATGTGCCTGGTGAGATCGAGGTTAGGTGAGGCAGCCAGTGCCCAGAGCAGGCTGGGCACAGAGGGCAGATCGGCGGGGAAAGAGGGAGGCCCATCGTCCAGCCCCTTCCTTCCAGGTCTCTATGTGAGGGAGCTCACAGGAAGTCTGGAGAAGAGGTAAAGCATCGGACTGTACTAAAAGCCAACTCTCACGGCTGGGTGGAGAAGGAATTTTACGGAGGCCAGGGCAGCAGTAGGGGCCTGCTGGGAGCCAGCACAATCCACAATCACCCTGGTGTGAGATGGGGGTGCTGGGACCCAGGAAATGCTGGGTGGATTCTGGACACACTCAGAAGACAGAGCCAACAGCATTCCTAACAAACTGGAGTGTGAAAGAGAGAAGGGCAGAATCATAAATGCCTCCAAGATGCTTGGCCTGAGCACCTGGAATAATGAAAGTACCATTCACAAGGGCGGGGAAGACCCCGAGGAAAGCGGGTGGAGGTGGAGACCAGGAGCTCGGCTCTGGTCACGTGAGCCTGACACGCCTGTCAGACATCTGAGTGGAAGCTCACGTGGAGTCTTCAGCCTGAGACGTCTGGCCTTAGGGAGAAAGGTCCAGGCTGAGTACACAGAAGGCGATTTTAAAGCCTGTGCGCTGGGTGAGGTCATGTGCTGCCTGGGTGCGGACGTACAAGCAAAGGGGTGGGAAGACTGGGCCCTAGGCCCTTCGACATTCCCAGGCTCGGGAGAAGAGGAAGCGCAGACACAGAGGCAGGAGAACAGGGAGAGTGTGGAGACCCAGAAGCCAGGTACGGACGGTACTTCCAGGAGACAGGACTTGGCCGCGGTGTCAATGACCGCTGAGGGGTGAGGTCAGGCGGAGACGGAGGACGGGTCCCTGCACTGAACCAGGCTGAGTGTGGTGGGGCAGGGGCCTCCCTGCAGTGGCCTCCAGAGGGGACAGAAGAAAAACCAGAGCAAGCAAGCAGAGGAGCAGACACATCGGCCTGCGGGAACACGGGGCTGAGGAGGACTCTGTTTCAGAAGACGGAGATCACAGCCCGTTTCTGCATGAGTAAGAAAGATCCCAGGGCAAAGGGGAGAGGGTGATATGGTGGAGGAGAGGGAGATGTTGGAATGCGTCCTTCAGGGGGCAGGCGGGTGGGAGGGGGGCTCAGTCACGGGTGTGGGCCAGTGGGCAAAACAGGAGAGGAGGAGCAGGTCGCCAGGCTGGGAGCCCGGCCTCCTCCATGCCCTTCTGCATCCAGGAACCCCTGACACACAGGAGGTCCTCAAGGCTTAACTGGTAACACAGAACAAAGAGAAGCTGCTGGAACCCAACTTGCATCCATTAAGCCGTCATCAGGTGTCACTTCAAACAGACAAACAAAATCAAACACTGCAGATGCAGGTGGGAAGCCGAGCACGCTCCTACAGGAACGCAACTGGATTTCAGTCATTCTGCGGCTTGCTGCTGTTACGCACCCACCCTCCACCGCTTCCACAGAGAGCCCTCTCCCGTGCCAGCTCCGAGCACCTGTCTCCGTGATTCCTTGGGGAAAATAAAGAAGCAAGAGTGCAGTGAGGACTGAGGGCCTGCACGGCGATTCTCCCCTGGGAGGCAATTACCGCCTGGGACTCAGACTCACGACCAACACAGGCATCGTCATACCCACGTCTGCGCAAGTCCCAACGTGTACAGGGGACGCTGCGTGAAGTTCCCTGTCCGCGTCCCACAGGGACGCCGCCTGTCTCTCCCTATACCTGCCTTATATCCGAAGAAGCTGACCCCAAAGAGGGAAGGAAGGGTCCAGTCTACACTGCGTGCCTGCGACGGGCCGCGCTGGCTGCTCGGCTTTCAGTGTTACCGTCTTTAGCCTTCATGACCGTTCAGTGAGGTGCTGTCTGCATCTTAGTCATGAGAGCAGGTCACCAACTGACCCACGTTACAAACGCTCACTGCAGAGTGGCTCTGGACGGGAGGCCTCACAATCCGAAACCCCTCCCCAGGCCCTCCCGCGTTCCTGAGTCCTCAGTGGCTGAAACCTCCCTCCCTTCCTCCCTGGCAGGGAAAGGGCACATACCGGTAATGGTGTAGGCATCCCGGTACCCTCTGTAGCTGGGAGCATCTTCCACAGCCTCGCTTACGTAGTGCTCCTCAGGGATGCCGGGGATGCAGGCTAGGACTGCATGGTTGCTTGCCTCCGAGGGGGGCACGGAGCTGGCCGAAGTGTCGTCGTGCAGAGCTGTGGCGTCCAGCTTGGCAGGTTTCACAGCGAGGTGCCCACTGCCATTGGCGGCCCCACTGCCGGAGTCTGGGGCAGTGGGCGAATGGCCCCCAGTGGTTCCAGTGGACCAGCAAGGGCTCCTCACAGGGATTCTATGGGACAATTGAGAGAGAGGGGTGCAGTTACAGTCTGTCAATAAACCTCAACAAACCTTTAGGAAGGAAGGGCCCGAGATGGCGTGCGCTCAGACTGAATTCTGAGAATTGTTTCCCTCACGGCAAGACGTCTCCAATCACACTGCTTAGTTTCAGTAAAACAGCTGCAGCAAAGTTCCATTCAACTAATCAGGCATCCACACTGACCAAAATGTGGAGTACATGGCTTCACTTGCTTATTGAAACGTGCCTTGAAGTAGCTCTAAGCAAATAAAACACACTGGAGCACAGCTTAAACCTGTATTCCTCCAGGATTTATACACACAAAGAGAGGTCACGTTTTCATTTGTATATTGAATTACGTAAGATATGTTTCTCTTAAACTCTTCCGACCGCAATAACTTCTCAATTCTGTAAGGTATGTCACCACTGGTGGTCAAGGGGCCAGATGGGAATTCACTGGCTATAGCCGTGGGAAGCTGGGCACTGTCACGGCCAATCCCAGTGGGGCCCAATAGGACTTCTCCATGATGGCCAAGTTGTGACTCCTGGTCTGGATACCGACTTGCTGACGAGAATCAGTGCATGAAACTCCATCAAGCTGCACTCTTTACAATTCATACACTATTTTCACACTGTTTTAGAAATGTGGAGTCATACTATGTAACCCAGGTTGGTCTCCTGGGTTTAAGTGATCCTCCTGCCTGAGTGCACACCACCAAGCCCAGCTCTCATACTCTCTCTTTGTATGTCTATTTCAATGAAGTGGTGAAAAGACTAGTGAATGCAGATACTGAATCTATAAATTAGCTTGAGAAGTTATCCCTAAACCAAGAAGATAAACAGACACACTGATGAGAGTCCCAGAAAAGCCAAGAAAGGCTTGAGGCAAAAAGAGAAAGGAAATATAAACAGGAATTTTAAATGCTTTTCTACAGGTGAAGCCGTACACCTTTCAATCAAAAGGCTCTACATCAAGACCCAAACAAATCCACGGAAAAATAATGAACTCCTAGATACAATCCAGTGGGAAATGTAAATTCCAAAGATTTAGGTAACAATCTGACAAACATTAAAAAGGCATCGCCACATGTCTACAGGCCATGCCAGTGGGATAATTCCTCAGAATTTACTTAATTCAGTTTTATTTTATTTATGTAAGACTGTCTCATTCCTGTCACCCAGGCGGGAGTGCAGTGGCACATCACAGCTCACTGCAGCCTTGACCTCCCGGGCTCAGGTGATGCTCCCACCTTAGCCTGTAGCGCAGACTACAGGCACATACCAACACATCCAGCTCATTTTTGTATTTTTAGTAGAGACAAGGTTTTGCCATGTTGCCCACGCTGGTCTAAAACTGCTGGACTCAAGTGATCTTCCTGCCTCAGCCTCCCAAAGTGCTGAGATTACAGGCATGAGCCACAGCACCTGGTCAGTTCCTCAGAAATTTAAGTGAAAGGTAGTCACATAAGACTTCTATACCCAATTAAGCTACTGTTACACACAAAAACAGCAGGCAGATACTTAGAAGCTCAAAGACTCTGATGGGCCTGAGGAGCTCCAAGTCTGATGACAGATGACACCTCATGGGCTCTCACTAACACAGGTCACCATACAGAGCTCAAAAGGTGAGGAAGATGTAGCAAAGTAAACCCGGCAGGGAAGTTAAACCAGGAACACTTAAGGTCAACATGTGAATAAAGCGCTTCATTCACAACCCTAAAGCAAACAGCCCAAAAGAAAAATGAGCAAAGGATAGAAAAGTACCTTCCCCCGGCCAAAACACACCCCCACCCACCCCCAAACGGTTTAAGGAACCTTAACAGTGAATTGAAAAAAACAACCACAAAGATTCTGAAAGTATAACAATGCCCAAATTCACAGCTGACTTAGGGAACTTCCAGCCTTACGTATTACTGAAGTAAGGTGAGGAGTATAAATCTGGAAGAACAGCCTGACAAAAGGTACTGTGGCTCTCTGGCCTGCCTGTATATAGGTCAAAGACGTACGACACAGCAAAATGCTAGGAACAGCCTAACAAGCCACAGCAGAGGACTGAGCCATTAATTACAGGACAGCTCTCAAGAAGTTGACCATGCCGCCATGAGGAGGAAGTGTCAGAGCAGATGGGAATGAATCCGCACAGAAAGATGCTGTAGGCAGAAAAACAGTAGATCATGAACGTGGACTTGTAAGGTTTTAAAATGCATTAACAAATTGAAGCTTCGTCAAGCCTTCTTCAACCTGTACTCAGGCGGATTCCATCTGACCTACATACCCGGAAATTTGAAATACTCTCTCCCTTTGCAAAATGCAATTGTTCTTCTGAAAACTAAGACAGTTTCATGTAAATCCATATGGTTTTTTATTTGCTTTTACAAAGGTTCTAACATGTAAAGATTTCTCTCTTTTTGTTTTGAGACAGGTTTTGCTCTGTCTCCTAGGCTGGAGTGCAGTGGCACGATCTCAGCTCACTGAAGCCTAGGCCTTCTGGGATCAAGCAGTTCTGCCCCAGCCTCCTGAGTAGCTGAGACTACAGGTGTGCGACACCACGCCCAGCTAATTTTTGTATTTTTGGTAGAGACAGGGTTTCACCATGTTGGCCAGGCTGGTCTCAAACTCCTGACCTCAAGTGATCCACTCACCTGGGCCTCCCAAAGTACTCGGATTACAGGCATGAGCCACAGGGCCTGGCCCTAATATGTAAAGATTTCTTAAAGAGGTTTTACAAGCAAGCCTTAGACAACCTTCCCTGTCACGATCTATAAAACGAGGGAGATGGCCTACATCCTCATCAGCAGCCCCAGATCACTACTGTTTCCCTCCTAGCACCTATGTGTCCATTTGCAGCTGTCAGACACTTAACCGGGAAACGTACTGCTACAAAATAAATATTGCACTTAACCCGGAAACGTACAGCTACAAAATAAATATTGCACTTAACCCGGAAACGTACTGCTACAAAATAAATATTGCACTTAACCCGGAAACGTACTGCTACAAAATAAATATTGCACTTAACCCGGAAATGTACTGCTACAAAATAAATATTGAAAATGAGGATGAGGATGAAGAGGAGGAAGAAGGTGGGAAAGGTGAAAAGAGGAAGAGAGAAACAGATGATGAAGGAGAAGATGATTAAGACCCCAGATGACCTGCAGAAACAGAACTGTTCAGTATTGTTTGGACTGCTCATGGATTTGGTAGCTGTTAGGGGAATTAAAAAAAAAGGTAGCTGTGATACAAACCCCAGGACACCCACCCACCCAAAGAGCCAAAGAATAGTTCCTGTGACATTCCGCCTTCCTTCCATGTAGTCCCTCTTGGTAATCTACCACCAAGCTTGTGGACTTCACCCCAACAAAATTGTAAGCATTGTTAGGTTTTTGTGTAAGACTCTTGCTGTAGCGTGGATAGCTGTGATTGGCGAGTCAACTGTCTGTGGCTACCAGTTACACCGAGGCTGTAACAGCATTTTTACTTTCTGTACAACAAAAAAGCTTTGTAAATAAAATCTTAACATTTTGGGTCTGTTTTTTCATGTTTTTCTTTCTAATGAGTTTTTTGTTTTACATTAGGACATTTTATGTGACAACTGCCAAGAAAGTATTTTTAAGAATTTACGTGAAATAAACACGTTACCCTTTGGTAAAAAAAAAAAAAAAAAAAAAAAAAAAAACTTTCTGAAAAAAAAAAAAAAAACCAAAATTTGGAGACATCAGCAAATGCTCACCTTGCTCAAGACTCAAAAGGGAGCACAAGCCGCAGTTCTGAAATCCAGGAAACGTTTGACATGTGCGGCAAATGGCAAAGCTATTCGGATGCCCGAGAGGCCCCTCTTGAAATAACAAGACTGAACTTTCACTCATTAAAATCAAATGGAAAACAACCTCAATTTTTATTCATAGAAAAACAGTTACACATTATGGCACATCCAAACAACTGAATTCTGTAAAATGTAAGGCACTTACCTCTGTGTCCAGTACGAATTACATTCTCAAAATAATCACTATCATTAACATCATAATTTCCAGATTCTCAGAATCGGGCACTTTTCTTGGTTCTACTATAATATTCACATGCCAGCATTTCCAAACCTGTTTTACCCTGGGACTTTTCTCCACACATCTATCTACGTGCCGTCTGTTTCACGGAGGACGCTCTGGGAAAGCCTCTCCATCAGACACAGGCTTCGTGCACTGTCCATCCACCACCATCTGTCCAGTGCTGATCTCCCCCAAAAACTGTGCGCTCCTTGGAAGCACGGCCTGGCACTGACACATACTAGGTACTAAGTAAATGTCTATGGAATAAATAATGACAAATGAAGATGGGGTTTGGTGCAAATGACTCTGAGGTTCCCCTGAAGCTTAAAGATGAGGTTTTACAATTTGTACAGGAACCAAAGGGTCTAAACTCCCAAATTTCACACTGCTAACCTTGAGGACCAACGGGAATCCATGGAAACCACCTGAGGCACTCCTAAGTATTCCAAATATGCAGACCACGGCCCACGGGCGCTGTGGGACTGCTCCAGTTTAACCTTACTTCTTCATTTTCAATACAGACCAACACACAACAAATGTGGCTTAAAGAGGCCAGGCCCAGTGGCCCACACCTGTAATCCTAGCACTTTGGGAGGCACAAGCAGGGAGAACCCAGGAGTTCAAGACAGCCTAGACAACATGGAGGAACCCTGTCTCTATAAAAAATACAAAAAATTGACCAGGCATGGTGGCATGCGTCTGTGGTCCCTGTTACTAGGGAGGCTGAGGTGGGAGGACCATCTGAGCCTGGGAAGCTACGTCGAGGCTGAAGAGAGCCCTGAGTGTGCCCCTGCACTCCAGCCTGGGCGACTGTGGGATCCTATCTGCCCCCCACACCCCCAAAAAGTGTAGTTTAATAGTCAAACATGTAAAATGACCCAGACACAACAATTCAAGGATCAGGAGACCTCATTTACAGACCACTCAAAAGCTGGTTTGCAAGGTCTCCAC